GAAGCAACTCGTATGAATTAATAAGAAAAAAACAAGCAATCCAATCCAAAACTGGGCAAAAGAACTAAGCAAGCAATTCTCCGGGGAAGACGTACAAATGATCAATGATCATGAAAAAATGCTCAATATCACTAATTAACAGAGAAATGTGAATCAAAATTACAATCAGGTATCACCTCACATCAGGCAGAATGGCCAACATTCAAACGTCCACAAATGACAAATGCTAGAGAGGCTGTGGAGAAAAGGGAACCCTCCTACACTGGTTTTGGGAATGCAGCTTGTTGCAACCACTGTGGAAAACAGTATGGAGAATCCTAAAAAGACTAGGAATAGACTTACCGTATGACCCAGGAACCCCGCTCCTGGGCATATATCCAGAAGGAAACCTACTTCAGGATGACACCTGCACCCCAATGTTCATAGCAGCATTATTTACAAAAGCTAAGACATGGAAACAGCCTAAATGTCCATCAACAGATGACTGGGTGAAGAACTGGTATATTTATACAATGGAATACTGCTCAGCCTTAAAAACCGACAACATAATGCCATTTCCAGCAACATGGACGCTCCTGGAGAATGTCATTCTAAGTGAAGTAAGCCAGAAAGACAAATAAAAATACCATATGAGATCGCTCATATGTGGAATCTATACAAACAAACAAACAAACAATGCATAAATACAAAATAGAAATACACTCACAGACATAGAAAATAAACTTGTGGTTCCCAAGGGGGTGCGGGGTGGGAAAACATAGACTGGGATTTCAGAATAGTAGAATAGATAAACAAGATTATATACTGTATAGCACAGGGAAATATATACAAGGTCTTATGGTAGCTCACAGAGAAAACAAATGTGACAATGAATATATGCATGTTCAGGTATAACTGAAAAATTATGCTCTACATTCAAATTTGACAGGATATTGGAAAGTGGTTATGAATCAATAAAAAAAGGCTTAAAAAACAAAGACAGCATAAGGGAAATCCCACAATCTGAACATGACATAGAGAAGCAAGTGAAAACCAATGTAAGCCATGTATTTGAAACCTGAGATAATAAGAAGTATGCCACTCTATGAATCACAGGGGCCCCAGATGGAAAAGAAAGAGAAAGGGGTTTGCAAAAGGGAACTGAAGGAATCAGACAAACATTTCCCAAACTGAAGAAAGAATCAGTTCTCCCAATACAGGAAACACAGTGGGATCCAAACAAGAGAAACACAAAGAGATCTACAACAAGACATGTTGTCATGAAAAGCACCTAATTTCATGATAAAGAAACGATTCTATGTGCACCAAAATTAAAACAAGTCAATCACAAGAGAACCTCCATCAGGCTTTCAGCAGATTTCTCAACACAAAGCTTGCAGGCCAAGAAGGGAGTTCACAGAGAGAGACAAATACCTGAATGAGAACAACGTGCAATGTAGCATAACCTATGACACAAAGACAATACTTCAGAGTAACCAGAGTGATCAAAAGTTTCACAGACACGCAAACACAGAAAGAATCTTGCAATAAGAAACTTACCCTCAAGAAAGATTGAGAATTTTAGACCTTGAAGAGAGAAGCAGCAGGATGATCTAGAAATGAGAAAACCATCATTGGAAAGGCAACAACGGCAAGAATTTGCAAAAGAATACACATAAAGTTGTAAAACACAGCATCAAAATCATTAAGGATGGGAGAGGGAAGCCAGGATATAGAGACTTGTTTCCATTCTTTTCAGGATGTGTTTGAGATTATATAATCATCTGTTTAAAGACAACAGAGAGAGAAATGGATTAATGTATTTGAGAATCAGGGTGACCACAGACCAAAAGCACACAATGGACTCACAAAAACCAAAGAGAAACCTAGGTAATAAAAAAGGAAATACTCAAAAGGCAGTTAAGGTGTATTTAAGACACAACGACCCAATATCACTGCTAGCAAATATTGTTCACACTTGTTAAAACAACAGATTATTACAAAAAAGATGCATGTATAAATGTTCAAATTCAATGTGAATTCATACTAATGAAAAATGTACTAACCCAAATGTCTATTATTATAAGAAGGGATAAATAGTTTCTGATACACTCTTACAGGCCATACATAAAGAATGAATGCATGGCATATTAAGCAATATGACCAGTATGAAGGTCATATTCATATAAAGAAGATGTTGTATGCAAAAATAGGACTGAGAGAAAACGGACAGCCACTAACCTGTGAACTGGGATGGATTTCATGTCTATGAAATTGAGATTTGCATATTCTTGACTTCCAGTTCAATGGATTCATAGAATATGTGATCATCAATGTTTGTATTCTTTCACTTAGAATGGTTTTCAATTCCCGATACTCATTAACAAAAGGTTACACAACCTGGAAGGAAATATTCAAAAAGTTTTTCTTACACATTATATATTCTCTTCATACTTATCTAGCAAACATGGTAAAACATTATCACTATGCATTCCTAAAATTTTGAACATTCAAATTTGAATACATTTCTGAAATCAATTTGCTTGAAAGGGTAAAATAGGCTAAAATTCCAAAATTATTGCCAACACTAATTAAGGAAAACAGGGAGCAATCAAAAGGGCTACAGTAACCGAAAGAGGATCTCAAGCTCGAATCTCAAGTCTGAGTATTTGGATGACGATAAATACTGGCTTCATCTTGCAAAAGCTACTCGTCTGAAAGACAGCTGTCTCTGCCCTTTCCTCTCTGCAGGTGGAAGTTCAGGTAACATGAGATAACTTACCAAGCACAGTATCTGACATGCAGTTTCACAAATGGTTTGCTTTCTTCTTTCAACACAAGAGACACACTCCCACGAAGGCTGAGGTGGAAGGGAGCCTCCAAGTCCACAAGTCTCTGTCAGCACAAAAGACGACAGGTGCTTGGTTCTACTTAAAGCAACAAATCAATAACAACACCGTCACCCCGATTCCAAGGACGCTCTGAGTTATCTAAAGCCAGGCCTGGGAGCCTGCACTTGCTTCTCCAAAAACTCCATCTGGGCTGCATACACACTGTGCACCCAAGAATTCGAAGGAAAAGCCCGCAGTCATTGTGCTAAGACATCTAGATGCCTATCTGCTAGTAGGAAAGCTCAGTCAGGCTCACAGCGTAGCGGTGGCGGGGGGAGCGTCAACTGAGGTCGAAAACCAAATGACTCTTGAAGAAATCAAGACAGCGTTGCTGACTTACCCTTCCTGAACCGCGAACAGTACCACAGCAGAATCCATTTAGGAACTTCAGGTTTGAAACTTTCCACACCAACACTGCTGCCACTTCATGCTTTCAAGGAAGCTTGCTCAGGAGAGCACAACTGGCACCTTGGAAGGTGCTGAAGCTAAGCCGTCAGCGGGAAACACAAGCGAGGGGCCAAAACTAGACAATGATCCCGGGTTTCTGCACACACGCCCCTGCCAACCGATTGCCTGAGGATGGCCGCAACCGCCTTGAACATCTGAAGGAATTGGCGGCTTCATTGGGGTGGTCAAGGGAAGGCCACGAGGGGTGCACCCTGGGGCGCGGACTCAAGTTCCCTTCCTGGGGGTCACGAAGGGCCCCGGCGGGGCGCGGCCCCCATGCCCTGAGCCCCTCCCCGACTCCCCGCGCTGAGCGAGGGCCGACCTGGAAGCTGCAGGAGCAAAGCCCCAGCAAGAGCGGCCAGGCCCTGCCCCAGACCCCGGACGCGCAGAAAACTGGGCGGCTTGGTGGGGGTCGGGGTCGGCGCTGGAATCTGGGTCGAGGGTCCTAGGGCAAGCCCGCAGCTGCGAACGCCTAGGTCGGGAGGGAATCTGCGGGGGTGTGCGCGTCCGGCACACGGGGTGCGGACAATCACCACATCATGCCTCAGGATCCTTCCCCGATGTACCAGAGGTTGCTGTAGGGCGGCCCCATGTCGCACGCCTGCCTGCGGACCATCTTGGAGTCCATGTCCGCCGCCTCCCCCGCCGCCGCGCCCCCTTCGCTGCCGCCACCGCCGCCGCAACCGCGGCAACCGACGCTGCCGTCTCCATGGAAACCGACGCGGACGCCATAGGCCCCGCCAACGCACTGGGCTGGCCCCTCCGCGGCCGCCGCTCGGCTGAAGCTGCGACTGCCAAAGGGACCGCGCCGCTTCCTGTGCAGCCGCCGCCGCTGGCCGGCTGAGGAGGTACAGCGGCGCTCAGAAGAGCCCCGGGCCGCTGAGAAAGACTGCCACCTGCCTGCCTGCCTGCCTGATCAAGGGGCGGTCGTGCGCCTGGTGCAGTGGCTTGGCCGAGGGGGGCACCTGGGCGGGGCCGGGCTGCGTGCACACGGGTTGGCTCCTTTGCCCAGGGGGCGGGGCTGCACGCTCA